GCCCATCGCCCGCGTCTGGGGCCTCGCGGGGACGCGGAGAGGAAGACGTCGGGCCTCTTGGGGGCAGGGGGCAACAGCAGCTTATTGCTTTGTTCAAGTGAGAGTCTAACAAAATAAGCTTTATGCCACCTTCTGTCACAGCTCAAGTAGATTTTTTTTTAAGGCAGCAAGAGCATTTTAAACTCAGTAGCAGTAAGCACGGAGCTGGAACGTGGTTTGCTGCTGGTAGTGCTCCCTCCTGCTGCTGCAGCCCCCAGTGCTCCAGGGGCGGCACGGCTCAGTCCTGCACTGGAGTTCAGCAGTCTGGAGTTGGTCCAGGCAGCTGTTCCAGAGGGCTGAAACCTCAGGTTGGTAATCCACAGGAACAAGCTGCTTAAGAATGAGAAAACTTCAGATTTCACTCAAAAAAAAAAACAACCCTCAGACAAACAAAACCTCACTTGTTTATGATTAAGTTAATACCACTACCTAATTGTCAGAAACCATACTGACCAAAAAAAAAAAAAAACCCACCAAAAAACTCCCACCACACACTGATGAAGCAGGCTACAGATAGCATCCCCTTCTTACAGATACTGTCCAAGAAATAATTTATACATAAATATCAGATCAAAGCAGAAAGTTACCTTTCAAATGTAAACTGTCAACAACCAGCATGTACCCTGCATTAAGTAATATGTTTGTAGTAGTGGAGTTTCACAGCTTTTCAGAGTTACCAAATTACACCTCAGGTTGTTAGTCAGCAGCATCTTTCCTTGATAAACAAACACGTCACTGAGTTGAAATGCAGAAATATTTATTTATTTTGGTTTCCTTCATTGGTTTTGAAAATTGTTTTGGTTTTATAAAACATAGAAATAGCCAACACTAAGCAAACATTAATTCCAATGTAAAACTACCGCTCTAACAGTTGACTTGGATTTGTGTACCTCAAGTGCACACATGTATGAAATTACGCTACAGAGTAGTGCATTACAATCACACACAAATCTTAGTGCAAACCTTGTTGTGCTTGTATTTTACATATACCCATGTTTTCAAAAAACAGCAATGAACGCTAATGCAAAACCAACTCTGTTAAAGATAGACTTATGCTGTAATAAGGCTTATTTCTGCTGATTCTCAAACAAAAGGTAGACTAGTCATTTTGTATTTTATCTGGGAATTAGGTTTTTATCCCTGAACAAATAGCTACCCTGTGCCAACACACAGTTCTGTTGGCATATTTGAATACTTCCAATTGCTGCAGAGCATCAGGCAGAAACATTCTACCTGACCTAGTTTAGTGAAGAATACTCAGTGGCTCATTAAGCACAGAAAACCTCAGGTTACATCAGAAGCTATTCTGCTTAGAGAGGACCTGGCACATTTAAAATAACACAATTTAAAATGCATGTTCATCACAGGGCAACAAGTGGCTAGAACAGGTGCATGTTTACCTGACTGTTAGCAAAGCCCTGCCTCTTGAATAGTTTTATTTTTAGATCTCTAGTTTTCTTGCCAGAGTTAGGATCTACTCAGTTCCAGAGGGATGCCAGCCCTGTAACTGTGTTAATGTAGCAAAGGCTGCATTGCTTACATAACTGCATCTGCACTCCTAGTGCAGGAGAACCAAGTGCAGACCAAGTCCGGAGAGCTTACATGAATGAGTCTCCTTTGAAGTGAAGTTCTGAGTTCTACCTTACAAAAGTAAGCCTCAGAACTGGCTGAGAAGGGACATAGAAGAGAGAAAGTCACTTGCATTAGCCCTAATACTAACTGGGGCAAGATGCAATACCAGCTATACAACTGTGTTTTTACAGATTAACTAATCCTTCCCAGGATGCAAGATACCTAGAGGCATTTTCAAACCTGCCAAATCCTTTCAGGGCTGACAACTGCAAGATACTGCAGACAGCAAACATGCTGGCAATAAGAAAAACCTTAGCTCCTTGGTTAAGGAAGTCCCATTTTTGGCCAAGTAAATCTTAAATAACTTACACATAGTTACCATTTATAGTTAAGGCTCTTTTTGGAAATTGTAGGTCACCATAAAAACAATATGCAACACGACTTGACAGTAAGGCAGTGTTCCATTTCTTCAGCGTTCCTATGGCAAGTACCCATTTTTGTACAAGTTAATGATTGCACAGTTTCCTTCCTGTTGTTTGCTGTAGTCAAATTACAGATATGAAGGTCAACGGTAGACTTCAGATGTGTGCCACTTTCCTCAATCCATTCGCAGTTACATTTTGGTATTAGCATAGAGTTCATCTATCTGTGACTTGAAATATTTTCGTAGTTCTGGTCTCTTTGCCTTCAGTGTTGGTGTCAGCAGGCCATTTTCAACAGAAAACATTTCTGCATGCATGGCAATGTCTTTGACCTGGAAAATAAACAGTTACTAGCCAAGCTATACCCCTTTGAAAAAGACAAGGCTGGGGCAGAGGGGGGAAGGGGAGGGAAGGAAATATTCAGACATCATAACAAAGCCCATCACCTAAAAACTCCCCATATGCTAATTAAAACCAGTTTTGGAAGAGCTGGATTGTATTGCTTTGAGATGCTAATAAGAACAGAACACTTCATGCTCTAAACATCTCACCTGTTCAAATGACTTCAAACCAGATTCTTTCCCAATCCTCACCATGTCTTCCAGAATGATTTTTTTGAGGTCCTGTGAATACAGGACAATAATACATTTTATATCTTGACAAAGTTGATGCAGAATAGCTAACTATTTAGTTAGATATGACCCACCTTGTTTTTGCATAGCTCTTCATGTGAGCCATCAAATCCCCTTTTCTTGGCCCAATCATGCAAAGTCTCTGGATCAGGTACCACAATAGCTATTAAGAAAGCCTAAAAGAGAAATTTTGTCAAGTTTGTTTTGTTTTTTATTTTTTAAAAATCAACTTGGGTTCCTGTCTGCTTTTTACTAGCCAATGTCTGGTTTGGGGTGGCAGTTCTAATCCTGCTGTAAAATCAGCAGCTTTCTACTGCTTTAAAAAACACAAGCTTTTGAACTGAACTTTTGTTAAGAGAATGACACTTGTTAAGACCTACTTTTCAATTTACACTTACAAAAACGTGAACACTGTTATTTGAGCTTCCCCACATGCTGTTAGCAATTTACATATTATCATTAATACTTAAAATTAATTCGCCCTACCACTCAGTCTGAAACTAAATCCAGAAACGTGCAACTCATGGTGTCCAAACTGGATTCAGCACCAAAGTGTCTAACAGCAAGATAAATACATTTTAAGATTTCAATCCCATGAAAGGTTGGGATGAGAAGAGGGAGGAAAGGAAGGCTTTTCTGCAGTCCCCTCTTGCACTCATTTTAACAATTACCTGAAGAATGCTTACCTGCAGGCTCTCTCCATGGACGAACACCTGAGCAAGTGGTTCACTTCTCAGATACACATTTTCTATTTTCTCAGGTGCTATGTACTCTCCCTGGGCTAATTTAAATATGTGTTTTTTCCGGTCAATGATCTTCAGCGTACCATTCTGTTGATAGAAATAATTTCTGATCAGAGGCAGCACTTCACATGGTAACCAGTCTATACAGCTTAAGCACTCTGTGGTACATCATGTAACACATCAGAATTAAAACATATTAACAGGAGTTTGCTTTTATGTATTTCTACTTCAGAGACTACTGTGCAATATTTGTAAGCCTTCAACAACAGACTAGAAGTGTTACTACTTAAATTCTGGCTTAATATTAAACTTAAATCTTTATGCCTTTTTTTTTTGGGGGGGGGGGGGAAGAGGGGGGGAAAGGGAGCACGAGCAGTACCTATTCTGAAGTCCTCCCTAGTTTAGGTTAGATGGGTGCAGAGTTGGATGTGTCCAGCACCTGTTTTCTTCTCATATTAGTTTCACAGAGCTCTGGCTCTAGTAGTATTTTACTATATTATGTAGTCTAATTTGTATGGATAAACTGTCTTGGATCCTTTGCATTATTCATTTCATGTACAACAGTACCAGTTTTAAGTACTATCCTCCTCCTAAACTGACTTGTCTCTTCCCCTAATTAGTTAGGTTTAATAACAAATATTTAACTTCACTTGTTAAATTAGCAATAATAACTACAGAAGTAGATTTCAGTTACTCAGGTTAACTTACAGGTAACCATTTCCCAATATCTCCTGTATGGAGCCAGCCGTCTTTGTCTAGAGCTTCTGCTGTTTTTTCTGGATCTTTCAAATAACCACGAAATACATTTGGCCCTTTCACGCACACCTGAAACAACACTTTGTTAATTTATGCTAATATGAAGGGAACTTCATGACCACTATTTGCAAGGAATGCTTTCTCCAATAGATCTCAATATCCCACTTCGATCACTAAAAAGACAAAATGCCGTTTATGCATTAGTACAGAAAGCTTTGCTCATATATTTGAGACCTAATATTTCCATTAGTATAATAAAAAGCAAATGGAAGCGTTTGTTCTCTTCCAGTCTAGTAGCAGTGTTCCTACTTGCTATTTGAATAATCTGCAGGTATCAAGCCACTAATAGCTGAAGAAATTCTGCTGGTATCCAGATATACTAACTCTCATAGTTAGTGAACATTTTCAATTTGGCTTTGCTAAGCAGCGGTGGCATTGTTGGAAAGCCGGCTATGAAAAAGCTGTAGATCAAGCCATCACTTGTTTGTTATTCAGAAGTAAAATATAGTTAATCCCTTTGGGATTAGAACACTCAAAACATCTCCATTAAAAAAAAAAATTTAGACTTCCTTTAAATTGGAAGTTGTCAGGATTTGTGTCCTTAGTAGAAGATTTTAAGAACAACTTTTCTGGATTTAACTGGATACAGGGAGGTTATAAGAATCAAATAACGTGCTTACAAGGCATGAGAAAAAGACCACCAACAACCAGAAAGTCAAAGGTACAGAGGTGAAAGGGATGCCAGAGAGTCAGGTCAAGCCTGACAAGCTAAGTTAAAACAAGTCATTAAGTGTTTATTAACAAAATAAGAGAACATGAAAGTAAAGCAACCACTCAGAAACATGAAGTGGAGCCTGAAAAATCCAAAAATGGTCCCGGATCTAAGTATTTTCTCAGTAATATACTCAAGGTTGTCGAGGTGGTGTTTTTTTTCAGGGTTTCTTATCCCGTTATTTAAGGCCCAGCAGGATGATAGAATACCTGCTGGAAACCAGGGCACAGGCATGGGCAGGATAAACAAGATGAAAGCAAGCCACAGAGACCCCCAACACAGAACTGCCGAGGATCAGATGCCTGACAACTCTGAAAGCTCTGCGTAAGAGCACTCAAAACAGAAGATTTCTAACAATTGCACCAGTTAGTGGTTTAGCATGCTTGCATAACAGGCAATAAACAGTGGTCTGAGCAATACTACCAAGACTCCAGAATAAGTCTGGAAGAATGAGAGAGAAAATGCAGTTTTAAGTTTCAGCCAAATGGGTAATAAATATTGAAAAGGACTGAAAAAAAATACTAAGCCATTTATTAGTCTAAGGGATCAGTGCAGTCCTGAACTAGAGAATCTTTAAACACTATTATCAATTCTCAGACTAGACAAAACTACTAATATTCAAAGTTCAAAGACCTTGAGAAACTCAAAGAGCTCTTGAGAAACTCACCCTAAGTATTTTCACTGTTTACCTTGGCATGAGTACAGACATGGTACTGAACAGTTAATTAAAATATAAAACCCAAAAGATGTAATCAATACAAGGGAGAGCAGAATATTAGTAAGAATTCAGGTGACTTTGTAGAGACAGTACCACACTAGTTATAAAGGCAAGTTCATGCTTTATGAACTAATAGTCAAGCTCTGTTTTAGAAGAGAAATATCTGGAAGGGAATGAGCAAAGGAGAGCTCTAACTGTCCCAGTCAAATCAAAGGATGACCGATCCAACATTTAATTTTCATAGCTCCTGTAATTAAAGGATGGTAGTAGGTGACAGCTCTTCCCAATAGAGACAGCAAACCATTTATCTTTATCCTGCTAACTGGCAGTAACACCTCATCTGCCTATGTAATTTACTTAGAAATATATCCTTCTGGAACACGGATAACTGGCAAGAGTGAAAAGAAAGGCTAACAGAAGTGAGGAGACTGAAAGCCTATTCTCAGAAAGGAGGACTAAAAAGTGTGTTTAATCCAGCTGAAGATAAAAGCTGGAGAGCAGACAGACAGGCGAGGAGGCTGATCTATTTTAGCCAAAGGATAATGAGAGCCACTTTACAGCTATGGGCTTCAGTGCTGTGAAATAAGTTAAAACACTTGTATTTGTTAGATCCAGAAGAGCTTGCGTTGTGAAGTTAGGATGGAATGACCAAAATATGGTACCTGATAATCCCTTAAGGCTATATTTATTCAAATCCAAAGCAACTCCTAATTCAGCAAGCTTTTGCAGTAAGTGTAAAGAAGCCTTAAAAAAAGTTTTTTTTTTTTTTTAAAAAAAAAAAAGCTACTTACCTATTTCTCATTATAATGATATATATTCAGTTGCTCTAGCAGACCAAACTTAAAAAGCATGTTTAAAACAACACTGATTAAGACTAAAGATGGGGTCATATGCTAGACTGGGAGAAATCTAGACGTTGCAAACTTGCACTTGCAGCCAGCCAGCCAGCCTCCCACCTCCATTCCTGACTAAATCCTTAAGTAGCTCTGGGACTTGAACAAAGCCCAATGATTTTTTTCAGGAGGAGGGGGGAAGGGGGAGAGGTGGTCAGCTCTGATCTCAAATTACGACACCCCCAACCCTCCAAAAGTGTTGCGCATTGTTTGCGGTCACAAATTAGTTGCTTGCTTAAAGGTACTTTTTATTTATCATCCCAAGGGCTCTCAAAAAGCATATGGAAGAAACCACAATTAATTTGCTTTCAGGGCTTAAACAACCCCAAATGGAAGTCTGTTCAAAGTCTATACACAAAGTGGTTTATAGCTATACTTGGATAAAACATTTAAAAAGAGCAAACTGCACTTTAAGAATGCAGTTTTGTATGTAATGCTCTCTGTAACGCATTCACGTGTGTCTTGTGCATACACAGGCAGTTGCCACAAATGAACAGCAACCTTCTCGACAGTTTATCACCATTTGTCTTAACACTGGTTGTGCACAGATGCACTGTGCTAGTGCATCAGCTGTTCCATAGCACCCAGGGAGGTGGGAACGGAGGTGCGCTAGTGTTTACTGAAGGGCACAAACAGCAGGAGACAGCTAGGTTCTCTGCTGAATTGAGCGTTCTAATGCCTGCGTGCAACATGGCGTGTTCATCACAACTGTTGATGCACAGCAACTTGTTATCCCACAGTAAACTTTTCCTCTCTTCCAAAACACTAATTTCTGGAAGATGGAAAAGTTTAGATTTAGTTAAATACAGTATATGATGTTGTACACTGCACATAGCTGAAGACAAAATTAGATAAATATATTCTTTCCAATCCTGTATTTGTGAACCACTCCATCAATTTCCCCCCCAAACATAAAAGTTTAGCCACTAGAGCAGTATACTGCTGAGTTTTCAAATTAAGTCTATAACTATCAGTCTGCTTTACTTCTGTGAATTGCCTACATGTAAGGCAGCAGTTGCAGATTGTTGGCTGCAGGCCAAGTTTAGCACTATTTTACTGAAATCTGATAGTGACTTGTTATTTCATGAACTAAAAGAAAAAATTTCCAAGATTTAAGTGGCTTGTATTGACCTTTAGAAATTACTCACCTCACCCTCTCCTTTGACAGCCAAGTAATTCATTTCTTCTACATCAACAAGCTTTATGATATTGCATGGCATCGGTGCCCCAACATGACCTATTAAACAAAAACAGTTCAATGGACTTGATGAGTTTTTGGCTAGATCCTTATACCAATAATCTGCCTACATATTTAAGTTATCCAAAAGATGGAATACTAGTTTCTGATAATATATTATACCAATACAGTAGTTTTAATTTCTTGGTACTGAAATATGTAAGTTCTCAGATATCCCTAGAACATTATGAACTTCTGAACCATGTACTCAGGCTCACTATCTTTTTACTGTTATGAGCCTTCCTCTATGGACATACTTCAGCGGCAGAAATCTCAATATAAACTTGAAATACTAGTGTTATTTCAGGTAAGGAGCTAGTGGTGTAACAGCTGAGAGAAGCTTAGACTGCTCTGACACCAAAAAAATGCCATTTAAGTTTCCAGTGCTATATTTATACACAGCAGATGCCGATCCTCCAAGAATCACAAAGGCTTGGTACTATGACCTCTTCTCTCCTACATCCATTTCAACTTAAAAGGACAAAGTCCGTTAAAGGTTTGGATTGTTTAAACACTTGATGCCCTTATCTCTTCTAGCTATTTAGAGGTCTCTTCTAAGCTTTTTCTTATTTTCCTGAGGAAAAACACTATTTTATGCTTTATGATAGGTATAAGGAGCATTAAGTGATTTGAAACTTCAAGATGCTGATCACAGATAGGCAGACAATTAGACACCATACCTGCTGTCCAGTCACCAGGCAGTGATAGCGAGCATCCAGCTGTGCATTCAGTCTGTCCATAACCTTCATAGAACTAGGAAGTGAAGCCAAAAGCTTATTTAAAATTTCTTGCTTTTCAAAGCATAATCTCTTCGTTAAAAGAAAATTAATATTCTACTTGTTTTTTCTAGTCAGGTTTAAATTCAGGTTTAGCATAATTCTCAACATTTTCTATTAAAAAAAACCACACACCGTATTACAAAGTCTTACTGAAATACACAATTTCAAGCACTATTATTCCACCTTCAGTTCTGATATTTACTTAACATTTAACTCCAATTCATGCACTATATATGCACAAACCAAAACAGAAACCAACAGTGAGAGCTCAACAGAAAGAAGCTCTAAGAATAGAACATAAGCACAAGCAGTAACAAGTTTGTCCAAGACAGCCAGGAATGAATATCTATATCCCATTACAGCTCTGTAGCTATCATATACAAGACAGGCTTCCCCTTTACGTGCAGAACTCACTGCTACAACAGAAGTGAAAAACTTGAAGTCAAAGCAGCCTCATATTTTACGGTTACAAAGAGTGTTTTAATCAACTGCAAGGACTGGAAACGTTAAGACATTTGTTCCATCCTGTGCAGAGATTTATTGAGATTTTACCTCAAAAAGCATATACTTTGAAGAGGTTCTTTGGTTAGAATTAATGCAGTTTGTGCAAGAACGTTAAAGTTTACGGCAGCCCAAAAAAGCCTTTCCCTTAAGATAATTGAGTTGGTTACTTCAGTATTATAAAGACTTCGGTGCAAGTACAGAAGTCTCAGGGGATTAAGAGGTGAACTCTAAAGGAATTCAGTTTGTAAATATGCACTTGTATAGCCTCCAAAATGCTAAAATAGTTATCCATGTAATCAGACCACTAGAAATACCTCCAACATCAAAGCTTGAATCAGTTACCAGAATCTGCATGTTTTGGATTAAGGCCAGGAAACTCACCTGACAGCCAAGAGCTGTTCTTAGGAAGGTCAGTACACTTGCAGATACAGGTGCTGCTCCTGTGATCATCAGCCTTACTTTTCCTCCCAAACTTGCCTACAACAGACACAAGATACTGTGGACACCAAAAGCATTTTAGAGAGAAGTCTCCAGGGTCTTCCCTCCCACCCTCAGTCACTACTCACCTACAAGTGCCACCCAAAAGTGTTAGAGGTTAGAGTTTAGCATCCTATAGCAAGTTGTCTTTCTTTGTGTTTTACCCTCATAGCGGCTGGAAGAAATCATCTCTCAAATATGCAGTACCTACATATGCTCCCTGTGGTGTTACTGCACTATAGACTTGGCCAGAAGTCTAAAGAGCATAAGTCATAGCCTTACAGCAACAGCTTTGTATTTAGAGTGGTCATACTGTAAACCCATCTTGTACCTGCTTCTCATACATCCTGAACACTATAAAATCAGCCACAGGGGTTCATTGTACAACCAAGGTTAAGGCAAGTGAACACCATGCATAACACCAGGCTTGCTTACAACCTACCAGCAGTGAGGAGGCTGTAGGGGCAACAGGTGGCACTAAGTAACATTTAGCTTTCATCTTTCAGAAAGACAGTGTTTGCTTTCAAAGGGGGTAAAAGAGGGAAGAACTAGGAGTGTTTCAGAATAACTTCCCTATTACAATTAACGGATTATTAAAACAAAGGGAACTGAAAAAAAATGCAGGTGCAAACAAAAAGCAGGACTGCTGAGTTCTACTCCGAATAGCTAGGCAGTCTTTAATCACAGAGATGCAACCACATACCGTACTATAACCACTCTTATTAACTCAGCTATTGCAAACTAATGCCTATAAACTACTAAGTAGATGGGACCTATACAGTGATGCTTCACACTTTCACTATTAAAATCACATGTCACCCTGCTGTTCTGTACCATAAAGTAAGCATATTCGGAGGCCTGTTCCCAGAACAATCATCATTACTAAATAAATGGCCAAATACAGTTATCCCTTTTCTAACACCTGTAACCCAAAGGGTCTTAAGTAGGCAAGCAGAGACTTTCAAGCATACCTGTATTCTGCTGAAGATGAATTTATCCCAGAAACTGTTATTTCTGATTATACCACTTCTGAGTTCTGCTTCTTTCCTCTTTGAAGCAAAATCCAGCAGCCACCTCTTCAGTGATGTATTTGCCTGTCCAAAAATCTATTAAGGAAGATGATCTTGCATTAGCAGTCTCACAGACTACCATTCCCTTTTTCTTACAGTAACATACGTAAAGACTCTTTAACAGTGACATACAGGTCAACTAAACAACCTTTATTGGTAAGCTTCGTAATTATGGAAGGAAACGCTTGCAGACTTAGATTTTGGCCTCCACCTCAGTTCAAGCACTTAACTAGTTCTCACTTCTCATCCAGCTATGTGTATTGCTTTTTTTGGTGTATTGTTTCTCCATTAAAATGAAAATGGATGTTTTTCTACCCCAGTTTGATTTAATTTTGAGTTCAGCATAATCCTCAACATCTTCCAAAAGACATGCCACCATTATACATAAAGTAATATACACATAGTTTAAAAAAATAAGTTTTCCAAGGAGATGCAGGTTCCTTCAGAAGTTTGTCTGACATATAAAAGCTCGCTTTTCAGGTCACTTTTGAAAGGCTCCTTACAGTTGCTTCCAGAAAGCCACAGAGCAGACAGAAAGACAGACCACAGACTAACATATTTGCTTTAAGAGAGACCCAGCAGCTCTCCTCAGCACTACTGGGGTCCCCACCTCAGTTCCCCCCTTTTGAACTTTATATGCCAGGTTACTACAAGGCTGGGTGGGGTTGAACCTGTGCCATAGAAGTGTGAAAGCCTCATGGCACCAGAGACAACAAGCAAGAGGACATGGGGGAAAAGAGAAGACAGTCCCAAGTTTCTGGGTCTCTGTTTCTACAGCTCCCTTATAGAATGCCCAAGCAGAAAGGTGGGTAAGTTTTAAGCCCTACAGACCAATGGGCAGGTCTCAGGATTCTGTCCCCTCCAAATGCATCAGTTGTGCTATTTGTTCTGGAGACAAACAGAACAAGCATTATACCACTTGCTGTTTCAAAGTACTTTTCCAACAGGCAAGGTCCTTGCCTGATCCTTGCCTCTGGCCTCACAGGTAGGCAACTGCTGGCTAAGGGCATACGATGCGTCTGCCATTTCTTTAGCAACCAAAATAATACTAGTGGCATCCTCCAACTCCTCTGGCTGTGTCCTATGATTAGTCAGTCATCTATATACAAGAGGATAATTTAAAATCCTAAGTCTAAAGGAGAGAATCAAGTTCTGAATTCCCACCTTGGATGACCCAGCTCAGGGTAACAGGCAAACAGCAAGTACCAAAGAGAACGGGGCTGCTGACACACCCTCTCCCCAGCACTCCTGACTAGCTGGTTTAGATCTCCCTGCTAGATATGCTGGCTCTTGGGTAGAAAATTTGTACGTGTCCAAGTGACCACAGGCAAACAGCTGATCCAGGTTTGCAAATTCCGCTCTATGAGTCAGATGCTTAGTGTT